GATTTAGTTTCCTACCTGACAATGTATACATATATATTGATGTGTATAAATCTGAAATATATAAATTATTTTTTGCATATTCAAGATAGACACATGGAAAATCAGTGTTTATCTTGTTTGTTGTTTTCATTTTACTTTCTAGAGAAATAAAATGTACTTCCTTTTGTGATTGAAGAGTTACTGCTACTTGGGTGTTACTGATCATACACACTTGCCATGGCTGTCCAGGGAGATCACAGTAGTCTGAGACAGTAAAGTTATAATTGTGTAACCGTTTAAGCTTCCTGTTGTTGTTATCTGCTAGAATAATTGTACCGTCTTCCATATAGCAGGCACTGGTGATATAACAACGGTCTTTATCAGACTTAACTTGAACATTATATGATTGATTTCCTTTAATCTGAAATAAAATGTCAGCAGTCTTTTTAGGTATTTGTGATAGTGTGCCTAGGGCCTTCTTTTGTCCCGCCTGTCTGAGAATTGTTCTGTCTCCTGCTGTACTTTTTATATTGGCGTGCTTGTTGGCAACATTTGCAGCATCCAAACTAAATTCTGGTTCGTAGAATGTATCCTTACATAATCTGAAAAATAAGGTCAGACAGTTTAAGGGGCTATGAGGAGATAGTTGATAATAAATTCAGAGCAATAGATGAGGCACATATTTGCATATTTACGCAATTAATTTTACAATTTACGCAATTTTTTTTTTTTTTAAATGCATATCAAAACCCATTTAAAAGAAATAAGATAAGCAATTGCCTTAATGATCCACGCGTATTGTCATTTTCATCAAGCAAAAATAACCTGTTGTCCACTTGTAGTTTTTAACAATAGTTATATGCATGCTATCCAAATATTCCCAAATGTAATTCAGGGCTTACTAATAGACAATCTCCGGTCTTCGACGGTCCCCAGTATTGAAATACTGCCGATGTTAAATCAATTATGCAAGAGACCATTAATTTATATAATTAATTTATATAATTATCTACTCAGGTTGACAGTCTTAAGAGACCAGCAGAGACAGTTGTTTTAACAAAGTTGTTTAAATGTTCTGGACAATGTTTTATGTGCAATATTCCAGAATTTAGACAAAAAACTGGCACATTTGCACATTTGGTTGATCGCTTAGGATGATTATAAAAAACATAATTAACCATGAAAGTCATATATTCATAATTAAATACCCAATCAATTTTAAAATCAAAGGGTAACTGGTTTTAGAATACCCAATTAAATGGAGCCAATACCAAACTCCACATGAAATAATGGACAAACTTTATCTATTGCTCTGATAATATTTACTGTTATATATTGAAAATAGAATATTATGTAAAGTGCCTTACTAAACATTCCATATATTTTTTACTTAAGAATATCTTAATTCTTTGTTTAAATACTATAGTTTACCTGTGATCAACTGCTATACATGTAGAACAGCCAACACTATCGTGGTTCTGACAGTACATATCAATGTCTTTATGACTGTGTCTGTCACTAATATCTGCTGCAGATGCCCTTGGCTGATCTTTACTGGTTCCTGACTTAACTTGAGATTTATCCATCGTGGTTGATAATACATCAAATATTTCATCTGAGAGAATATCCGTATCACTTTGTCAACCAGTAGCCATATTGCCTTTTTCCCAACTAGGTTTTTTAGTTGATCTATTTACATTGTAAAATCGATAAAAGTTTCTCTTTTTCGTTCACAGGTATTTTAGATTTTAAACATTGATAAACTCTATAATCATGATAACTGTAAGCCTTAAGTATCTTCTACATTGTACTCCTGGGAAAATATCAATTACTACCTTATATTTTTTCATTGATATAAATCCTCTCCTTTCGCTAAATAACGTCAAAATGATTTGACTTACTTTGGGTTTAATTTATAAAAGGTGCCTTTATACCTCTTTGCACACAGTCTAACTTTACCTGGTGAAAAATGATCTAAAGTTTATTGATATTCAATACTTAATTGTTAATCTTTAAGGTATATAAAGACTATTTACATATGGCTGGTTTAACGTTATGGTTCAGAAATCAATAAAACCAGGTAGAAATATCTACTCTAATATAATCAAATGAGCCGTGTCATGACAAAACCAACATAATGGGTTTGCGACCAGCATGGATCCAGACCAGCCTGCGCATCCGCGCAGTCTGATCAGGATCCATGCTGTTCGCTTACAGACCCTATAACAAGTAGAGAAACTGATAGCGAACAGCATGGATCCTGATCAGACTGTGCAGATGCGCAGGCTGGTCTGGATCCATGCTGGTCGCAAACGCACTGTGTTGGTTTTGTCGTGAGGCGGCTCAAATGATAAAAAAAATCACAATATCTTGGAAAAGCAAGTAGTGTACATTTATGTATTAGTCCTTTGTTGTTGTATTTAGGACACATTCAAAAATGAGCTGGTTTAATATAATTGTAAGTTTGAATATAGAAATCAACTCCAGTTTCAATTTAAAAATGTATTTATTTTATTTGAAAAATATACAACGTTTTGACTCAAAAGTCTTCATCAGGTATATTTTGTTTACAGGAAAAAAAAGATATAATATTAAAATTATTTATTTGTCAGAATTAAATTCATTGGCTTTGGTTGGTTATGAGTATTTTTTGCAATTTTAAATAGGACTTATGTGAGTGTTTGTCCATTGAAAGTTCTAATTAGACCTCTGTGATTATCAAAGGACTCATAGACTCATATGAATACTAAGGAAAGAGTACAAAATCCCCTCTTTAAATTCAGATTTTAGAAATAATGCTAGATAAAATCTTAAAGTACATGTACTTTTATTTTATCTCTCGAAAATACATTGTTTACTGGTTTCCTAGCAGTTTCCAATACAAAACGTCCCCCTTTTTAGCTCACCTGAGCTAGTCTCATTTTTGCCTAAATCATTATCAAACTAAGTCAGGATGCTTGTCTAGGTTTGTTTGATTGTTTTGGGTTTTACGTCACATCAACACAGTATAGGTCATGCTTGTCTAGGTAATAATTGCAGAGTAATGCCCCTTTCACTTTGAAAATAATATGAAATTTTCAGTTTTCATTCATTATCTCCCCAACAGTATTACACATTCAACTCCAACTTGACATATGGATATGTCAAAGGAATACGCAGGCCAAGTTCAAATTAGGTCATGGTTGGATGAATTTTGGCAGAATTATGCCCCCTTTTACTTTGAAAATGATATGAAATTTTCAGTTTCCGTTCATTATCTCCCCAACGGTATTACACATTCAACTCAATTTGACATATGGATACATCAAAGAAATGTGCAGGTCAAGTTTGAATTTGGTCATAGTTCAATGGTTTTTTGGTTATGCCCCTTAAACTTTGAAAAAGTTGGAAATTTTCAGTTCCCATTCATTATCTCCCCAACAGTTGTACATATTCAACTCAAATTTAAGATATGGATATGTCATAAGAATGCACTGGTCAATTTCGAATTTGGTCATGTTTTGATAATAGCTGACCTTGAACTTTGAAAGAAATCAGAAACTTTTAGTTTCTGTTCATTATCTCCCCAATCACGTATTCAACTTTAATTTAACATAAAGAATAAGCAATTTAAGTTTGAATTTGGTCGTGGTTCAATGATTTTGGACAAAGTTATCTTTCTTGAATGTTGGAAAATTTTTGAATTTTCAGTTTCGGCACTCATACTTTTGTGGAAATTTATGTAGCCATTATTTTGGCTACAAATATGCAATATACAATTTACAAAAGGTTAACACTGAATTATAAGTTTCAGTGCCTTGAACTTTGTATGAAAATGGTTTGTGTTAACATTGAATAGCTTTAAGGGCTTTAAACTTAAAATGAAAAAAATAGTTTGTGCAAACAAATTTGGAACCTATATAAATATTATAACATCTGAAAATTTGGCTGCATGCAGGGGCATCCGTGGCGTGACGAAACATTTCTAGTCTTTGGCAGGTGTTATAATAAAACCTAGTGTTACATCAGATTATGTGGTGTGGGCCTCAGAAGCTGTGTGATTAAGATTGCCAATTTCAAAACTCTGGCCCTTCACCGTGCTATGGGTTTGAATCTCAACTACATGTAAGGAAGCTATCTTGCTGACTTACTTAAGCTTCCTTACATCTAGTTAGGATTCAAATTTAAAGCTGTGTACGACCAGTGATTTGCTAGCTTATGGAATTTCTATCTAGTTAGCCAATAGAATGTTGTCTGTTCTACTCTGGTGCCCATTTGTGCATGAAATAATGCACAGAAGGGCACCTGAAGTCTTCTTCCACCAGTAAGGTTGGAAAATTGCAATATGACCTATACTGTGTTGGTGCGACATTAAACCCAACTTAATAAAATAAACTAAAAATTGGTATGGAAGGTCGTTGGTTCTACTTGGCTGCCTGAAATAATGCACAAAGGTGCATCTAAGGTCTTTTTCTTCGGAACAGTTGGAAAGTCATCATATGACCTTGACAATGTAGGTGTGGCGAAACTGTGTGAGAATATCTATGAAGTGCTGCGTCAGACTTTAAGCATGCAATTACAAATGATAAACAGTCTGTTGAACACTTATAATGTGTCTGATGTAAGATTTATGTTGTTATAAAAACAGTCAGTTTCTTAATGCACATTTAAACCTTTTCTCTGTTTTTTATGATAAGTATGTCAGCCCCATATTTTGTATGACATAGGAAGCTTAATTTGGAATAATAACCTTTTTTAGGTTTTTCTTGAACAAATTTTAATTAGATCCTTTGAAACCCTGCTGAAATAAATTAGGCATTATTGCAAATAGGCATTATGCCATATTATTATCACAAACTTAATGTGAAATGTTCCTCTCAAATTGCTTTTCAAAAATGTCAAGATGTTTAAAGAAAGAAGAGAAGAATTCTATATAAATGGAATTTTCCGGAAGGTTGGCCCCCAATCCTGCTTAGTACACTACTTTTGGATGATTTTTTTTTCAAACTTTAATAGTATGGAAATAACTTCTTTTACCACAGATGTTCAGTAGTAGACAACTGTCAATGACTGATGCCATAGTAACAGCCATGCAAGCCATCTTGTTACCACATGATGACAACATCTCATCTTTGCAACAAGTCCTCCCATTGGCTGATGATGGAAATAGCATGTCCAATCAGATCTGTCGTGTTGTAGCCGAGTTGGAAACCAGAGCTTGTACTGTGCTAGCTCTGTATTTACAAGATATAGATTTCACGAAGGAGTTTATACAGCACTGTGGGTCCACCATTGATATGCTCAAAACACTAGCCAAAGACTGCAGTACTGGTAAGATATGCCTTTACTTTAAATTTCATTGGTCAAAATATGCCAAGTTTTATCTATGAAATCTTTGTTTAAATAATAAACCTGACTGGTTCTTATTTTCCTTACTTGCATATTTTGAAAATCACCAATGTCTTATCATACCTATACCTCAATTGATAGATTCAAGTCTGAAATTATGGTTAATATTTGACTTTTAATGCACTTGCTTGATTTAAATTTCATATGAATTTTACATGCATTTTGATTGAAAATGATACCATGGTTCTTCCTGCGCAATTATAATTCTTGTATGTAAGAAAGCTAGATAGCTAGCTTATAGATGAACAGTTGTTTTTAAGAGAAAATGGCAGGGGATGAGGAGACACACTGATAAAAAGTTTATGTCTTAACCAAAGAATTGTTTATTAAAACCTTGTTAACACAATCATGTTTTGCTTATCAAAGCAAAAAGCAGTCTTGAGGTTCTAGTCCTAAGCCTACTGGAACCAAATGTGATTTGCCTTTGGCTAGACCAGTACACATGCAGTCTAACAAAGCTCTATACTGATGCTCGATTTTGTATTTTGATATTTAAATCCTCTTAACTTTAAATGGACTAGTCCAAATTCAAAGCAGTGCAAATCCATTACGCAAATTTAGCAAATTAAGGGCTAGGAAAACATCATTAAAATATGACCTACAACAAAGTGTAAGTGGCATAAAGTGTAGCAAAAAAATAGAAATAAATGATAAAAGTAGAATACAAACAAGAGGAAAGCTAAATGATTAGTTGTTATCCTATTATGATATTCAGGTGTTAGAAAACCAGTGCTAGAATCCCACTGTGAGAGATTGAGGACACTATACAGAGATTGTGCCAAACCTCCACCTCCTCCAAGTAAAGTTGATAACAGGGTATGTATCGATTTAATTTAAACAATAAAAAAGTTATATTTAAATCTTACTCATTTGTAGAAAATATCTGTTTGTTTTCTGTGAATACACACTATATTTTTAAGATGTCACAATGAAAGTAAAAATAAATAGAGGATATTCAAGATACTGCCACTCATTTAATATCTATTTTTACTACCACTCAATGAAAATAAATCCTGTATTTATAGAAAATGATTTTTCTGTTAATTATATACATTTTTCTCTTTTTGACATTACAATTTGAAAGACTTTCCCTTAAATTTGTAAACTGGCAGAATTTAAAAGAAAATAGTCAGTGAAAATATGTTTAAATGCAGTGAAAAATAAATTTTTTACAGTGAATATACAGAAAATGATAATACACATTTTATTTTATCAATATTTCATTGATAAATATATAATAAATAGAGGATATTCAAGTTTTTTCTATAAATACATGATTTATTTTCATCGAGTGGTATGAAAATAAATATTTCATGAGTGGCGGTAGCCACGAGTGAAATATGGTAATTTTCATGCCACAAGATGAAATAAATCATGTATTTATAGAAAAAAAACTTGAATTTTCTGTTTATTATATACATTTTTCTCTTTTTTGCGATAAAAATGAAACACTTTCCCTTAAATTTTGTGTACTGGCAGAATTTAAAAGAAAGTAGTCCGGCAAGACACCAGTGAAAATACGGAAAATATGTTTCACTGCAGTGAAAAATAAATTTTTACTGTGAAAATACAGAAAATGAAAATACGCATTTTATTTCATCAATATTTCTCAATATTTCATTTATAAGTATATAATAAATGAAAATTCTTAATTTGAAGAGAGATATTCTGTATATTAACTGAAAAACAAACACATTTTTTTATCTTATATTCCATTGCAACTAGTCTATAGTTTTTCTTTTAAACAAGGCAGACATTCCTAAAAAGCATAGAGACTAAAATTGGGGACCAAATACGGCTTGTTATTTTGAGCTTATTCATAACCTTGTGCATATCTTTATATGTCACCCATTCTTTTTCACTAAATCTTTCAATGTAAAGACTGTAAACCTCATTCAGATTTAGACAGTGTGATATGACTTATATCTCACTGATATTTTGTCAATATCTCAACTGATATTTTGTCAATATCTCATTGAAAGATAGAACTTCAGTATATTTTGTAATAAATCTGATTATAACCTCTACAGAACAAGGAAATGACATGGGACACCAGCCGCAATTTTCCACCAGTGAGGGCGTGTTTGTTCTCTCATAATCTTACAGGAGTTACCTTCCTTGGTGACCCGAGTGCTGGCAGTGGTTTGCCAAGAGGAACTTTGGTCTATGCCAATATACCTATACCTTTACAGGTCTGTATATCTCAAGCTAATAAGATATGATATTGTGACATATAAAACAAATGAAAATTGTGTCACAGACTTTTTCATTGCTTAAGTAAGTTGTTTAAGTGGTTGTGCTGGAATGTTGTTAAGAAATACTAAATTAAGCTTTGTGTGGAATGTTCAATTCAGTTGAGTAGTTGCTTGAGTATGTGAATGTCAGTTTTTAGTACAGGATAAAAGAAATCAGGATATAAAACTCTCTGTAAACACACATTTGAGTGCTTTCCTTTTCCCAAGCCAACAACTAGCATTTCTGAAAACAAAGATCTAGCAATATTACAAGTTTGCGTTTCATAGAAAGACCTTAGTCTTGAACATGTCTGAAAACTAAAACTGAGAGAATTTTTGTTTCAAAGATATTCTCCTAACATATGACTCCTATGTTAAGACTCTTCAATTTTTGAATAGCATTGCAGATGAACATTTACACATGGCAGATTGAAGGGCATGCCATTGTATTTTGTAACTTTTCTCAGGAGAATAAATTAAATAGAAGTCTAAAACTTTTACTTAAGATGAAAATATTTATTGAAACAGTCTTAAGTTAGTCTAATAGTTTGTCATATTAGTCTTGGTACTTAGGATACACTAAGGACTTCCTATGAAACGCAGCCCAGATCTATAGCTTGTGTGGAAATTATTTGATTGAGAAATTATGAGGCTTAAACGCTGTCATGGTACAATATTTCAGGCACCATCATTTTACTGGGAGCTGGAAATTTGTTCATTTGGGGACAGTCAGGATGAGAGTTCTGCGTACGTCTCATTTGGTTTTGCCCCACCTGCTGAAAAGAAGGATGGAGCCTGGACAAATCCCATAGGAACCTGTCTCTTTCTGAAGTAAGTCTGCAGGTGCATTTTATAAATGTACAGGTTGTACAAATACACCTGCGGGTACTGTTTTAAGTGGTTAAGTGAGTGACACCGAAAAATTGGTGAATTTGGAGAAATGACGAAAATTGCTAAAATTTTCTCTAGCATAAATATCAACCAACCTATCATTAAATTCTTCTTTTCCAAGATTGGCTAATATTTCTCCACATGAAATGTCTGGAACTTAAAATTTGCTAACTTTTTGACACATGGAAATATTCACTTATACAGTACATTTGAAAGTGAAACTTTGTGTGGAAAGAAAGCTTGATAATTTGCATGATTGTCAGCAATGCTATTATTAGACAAATACTTAACCATCTAAATTTGCATAATGGATTTGTCCTGTTCTGAAATTGAAACTGTTTATTGATGGCTTAAGGAATCTGTAATTTAAAATATTATGGCAAGTTAAACAACCAAAACTGTAGACTAGGCCGTCAAATATCTGATTTGACTTACTGTTCTTATGATAATTATAAAAAGTAAAAAGTAAATTCAAGACATCTTTGACTTGTAAGTACTGGCTGTGGGCAATATGGAAAATTGCTTTTGTTGCCCCCGTAGAGTTAGTCAAACTGCATGGATTTGCAGTCCAACCAGACAAAACCTAATTATTGAAAATCCATTTACTTGACAATGAACAATCCCAAATGAAATGCAGGACATGTTCCTTATACAAATTTTAAAAGGATTAGAGTTATGTAATCACAGATGAACATTCAGGACTTTTCTTGAATTCCTAGATTTTGAAACTCCTAAAAGCCTTCTGTTTTATACAAAACTGATGAAAATAATGCTTCATTAAAGGTTCTAAGGTTTTTGACATTTTTAATTTCTATTCCTGTGTATATAATTTTAGGTAATAGGTATTTTGTGAATCATATAAACTATATTCATACATCGGCAAAAATCTGATATTTTCAGTAATGGTAAGGCAGTCCATTACAATGGAGCCAGTTTACTGCAGTGGCGTAGTGTCAGACTGGACTGTTTGGTCGGTGTCGGAGATATAGCTGGTATAGGCTGGGAGAGAACCAGCGACTCTCCAGTACAGGGCGAAACTCCTAAAGGCAAGGTGTACTTCACCTTTAATGGAAGGAAACTTCAGCCATGGATAGAAGATGTGGCAGGTGCCATGTATCCTGTGGTTCATATACAGAAAAAGGTATGATAAAATATTTTAATTTTTTTGTTTGAGCTTCTTAAATTTTAGTTTTCATTTTGTTATATTTTATACCCTCTAAATGATTTATGAAATGATAAAATAACTTGGTTGTGGTTTAAGGATCTCTGAAACTACTTGGTTGAATACTGTCAAGTTCCATATATACATGCTTGCAGCATGATTGGGTGGCCCAGGTTTCTTAACTACAATGAACAATATGATTTTAGGATTGTGCCTCTTGGCAAAAGTTTTGTATTTTCGTAGGCCTCAAAGAAACTAAAATATTAAATGTCTTTCATTTTATCTTAAGCACTATTAGGTGATATTTTACAAAAAGTTACCTAAAACTTGTTAAATTGATTTTGAATAAATCAATGTATTCAAAAATACCAAATTCTTTCACTGGATGTAGGTCTTTGAAGTCACAATTTGTCATTATAAGCAATTTTAGTTATGTTTTGTTAGCCATAGGTAGCAAAGGTTTATTCAATGACATAACTCTTTTTCTTATTCAGCATTCTGATTAAATCAAGTATCACAATACAGGAATCATATTATGGAAAGGTATATATTCTTATTTCAGTCAACAAGAGTGAAGGCCAATTTTGGTGCCAGGCCGTATGCCTTTGCCGAAGGTCAACAACACAGAGAGGCCGCTGACGAAGCTGATGATCTAACACGAGAAATAAGAGAAAGTTTTGGTCATTTACCGTTCCACTCTACGTCGGACTCTGACAGTGATGGTGCAGTTTCGGCCCCTTCTACACCCAGTAACCTTAGCGAGATTAACGAACTTAATCTAACTGCTGGACCATTGTGTAAAACTGTACCAATTCCAAAGCCTCTAAAAGGTAGTGATTCTGTTAAACATATTAAAGATATTTTATTCGTCGTAATACAAGATCAGATTTTTATACAGTGTTGGTGCAGCGTAAAATAACCCCCATCCTCCCAACAAAAAAAAGAGATAAAATTTTACATTACATATACAATCAATACTACATATTATAGTATGAATTAACTTTTGTAGAGAAAATGAAAATTATATAGTCAAAGATGAGAAATTGTATTGAAAATTTGTCTTCAAGGTAACAACATAATGCTTTAAAAAAATAAAAGTCAACATATCATTAACCCATTTAAATAAAATGCTGTTTGAAAATGAATCAATTATATGCATATATTGGATGTTAAATCTTAGAAATGTTTGGTCTTTTGTGTTGTAGAATACAACCCAGATAACTGTCGCTTCTACAAGTTGTTCCACTCCTATGATAGTATGATAACAACTGGGCCCGACCCAAAGGCTCAACTCCCGGCCCAGGACACGCTGTCAGACGAAGAGTCCAATGAGGATGAATCCAACAACGAGGACCATCATGCATTGTTAGTGAAGGCGTGGGAACAGAAAGTTTTCCCGGTGATCCGAAGGAGGTTTAGGAATGAGGCTGAGAGGAAAGATGGTTTAGAACAGATTAAGGGGGCATTGCAAATAGGTAAATAATTGATGGCTGTGTAGGAGGCATATACATTGTTTCACTGTCACATTGTGTGACCATAGAATGACAAACTTTGAAGTGTCATGGTATTGTTTCCTATGGACACATTTCTTGTTACTGTTTATAATAAAATTTTTGAACATCTTTAGCATGTCTGTTTAAAGAAAAGTTTTAATACAAAAATCATGATAAAAGGTGATGGAGTGGTAAAAAAATAAATAGTTCATGAATGACGGTAGTCACAAGTTCAGTATGATAATTTCATACCACAAGATAAAAAATCATGTATATATAGAAAAAAACTTGAATTTACAATTTAATATGTACATTTTTCTCTTTTCTGACATTACAATTTGAATGACAATTCCCCTTTAATTTTGTGTATTGGTTGAATTTAGAAGAAAGTAGTCTGGCAAGACACCAGTGGAAATATGGAAAATATGATTCACTGTGGTGAAAAATAAATTTTACAGTGAAAATATTAAAAAATGAAAAATATGATTTTATATCATCCATATTTCTCATTGTTTCATTTATAAGTATGTAATAAGTATTATTATTTAATGTAGGTATGACTTTCATTGCTCGACAGACGGTTGAATTTTTGTATGAAGAAAATGGTGGCATGCCACGTGACCTTCACCTTCCAACAATTGATGACATAAAGGAAGATCTTGCCAAATTTACGATCGATCGTGTCAGAAAGGGTACCACGGTTGTGATCAGGGGCTCCACAGGTAGCAGTGCTAGTGGAGCCACAGTGCTACCAAAGTTTGCTGTTCGATCTATGTTAAAAACATTCGGACTCACTGGAACTGTTCTTGATGTAGAAAATGTAAGATATGATAAAGTCATTGTTTTGATACTTTTGAAATATATGGAACTTGTATATTATAATAGAACAAAGCAAAACAATCATGGTATATAATTATATATATTCGTTTTTCTAAGTATTGTATTGAATAAAATGTATAAAAGTTATTAAAATATTTGAGCATCATACCTGAAAATTCAACAATTAAAACAAACCTTTGAAAATATTCAAATTGAAGTAAATCTTAATGTTTAAAATTTATAAGCTGTAAACCCACATTGTATTGTCTTACGTCTGTTGCATATTTGTTTTTATCACATGCCCGTGCTGAGTTTGTGATTCCTTAAAAATGATATTGCATGGCCATGCATATATTTTGAGGTGATGTCATTTGCGTTATATATACATATTGTAAAGTTAGCTTTATACTATAGGCGTGTCAATGAAAAATTATTCTTTTGCACTTTAAACAGTCTTTATTTTGGGTGTGTAATAAAAGAATATTATATTTGTGTAGGTTCATTACTAAATTTATTGAACTTGTTAAATAAAACAATATTTTGCTCACAAGAGGCTCACAATAATAAAATTTAATCCGAAACAAACAACAAAACCTACTACTTGACAGCTGCTAGTTTTTAAATATTTAATCAGCTATATGATTTATTTTTCAGTCTAACGAGCTAGTCCAGGTTGAGACCTATCTGCGAAGTGAAGGTGTTTTAGTCAGATACTGGTACCCGTTAAATATGCTAGAACGACCACCACAGGGTATGAGAAAATCTACGATAACCGGCGGCCAGATACTTGACACCAGCAATGTCAATATACATAAGTATGCATTGAAAATATCTAACACTATGATTTTGTTTTCCAATCTATACATGTAGTCACAGTTTTTTTTACAAATTATATAAATGAAATACATGTATGTTTCAAAGCTCATGTACAGAGTATTAGAAGGTAGAGTTTTAATTTGTATTGCATAAATTCCCATTTTATCAGATGTTTTTCAAGACTTAAACCTAGATATTGTCTGAATACAATAAAATTGTTATGAAAATTACAAAATTTAGGATAAATACACTTCCATGGGTGGTCCTCTATTTTTTATGGGAGTTTGAGGTCACTGTGTTCAACCAGTAATTTGTTTGATTACAAACACATATTGAGTGAAGAATATGAAATTTATGATGCATACACAACCTTGTTTAAAATGGTCAGCTTCACATTAAATACACAATGATTCTTTTCAATCTTTTTTAAGGGAGTTAATTAGATCAGAAAGAACTGTTGCAAGAATGTACTGCCGCACTGCGTTATTGAAGCTGATAGATCATTGCAACTCTTCAGCTATGGAGGTGATATCCTGCTCTCCTAGTCTGGCCTCGGGTATGGCAGCAAGCGCGGCCCTGTTACAGGAACTGGATATTGAAAACATTCAGCTGCTGTCTAATGAGTTGTTAAAGGCACCTCAGCCTCATGGTACTATTAAGGCGAAATCGTTGGTGTTGTCGGACTCGTCCAAACACTGCCTGGCTGCTCACAGTTGTTCGCTATCAGATCTGATGTATGAGAATGTTGACAGGTAAGTCTAATGTTGAATATAATATGTTATCATATAGTAATGTTAGCATAATATAGTAAATTTGCTGTGATGTTTATCATTTTAATATTCAGTTTCCTCTAGGAATGATGACCTTTGGTGGGAAGGTATCTAATTTGCTTGTTCTACTTTTGTATGCCTAAAATATTGGATAAGTGGGATATCATCACCTTATTGCAATAACAAGTTACCCGTTACTGCACTAAGGTGATAATATGATCTTTTTTATCAAGTAAACTTCAGGAATTTGCTGTGCTCCTAAGAGGAACCTGGGGTCATTGCTGATTCAAAACTCATGTGGCATTAGCTGTGGATCACTTATAGAGAAAAATGGTAATATCTGGTTAATTATCCAGGAAAGCCAGGCCCATGAAATATGACCAGAATTGTTAAAATTTAAAGTTTTAACATTGGAGTAGAAAGCAAACAAACTAACAAACAGGTAGTTGCTAGTAGACCTGAATACTGTCAGTGCTACTGGCTGTCATTAGGTAAAAAATATGTTTGAAAAAGGTAAATTTTGTATATGATATGTGTGGTAAGAGGACTTTATTGTAATAAGTGATAATTTTTTAAAAAAGGAAAAAACTTGTTTCACATTCATGCTTGAATGAATATGTCTAAAACAAGAAAACTGCTTTCCAATGTATCAGATCTACTGCGAAAGTCAGACAAAACAAAATTTTTTTATTTAGCAAATACATCTTCATTTTTTTCTTGCTTTAAGATTGAAGAAAGAGCTAGCCATAGCCATTGCAAGAGCAGCTGGTCAAGGAGAAGATTATCTGTTTGAATTGACCAACCAGATCTGTACATGTCTGCAGGTTAGATGATTATTTTATGATAGATTTTCTAACTTTAACATGGCATAGGTATGGGTATCCGTGTTCTTCCTCCCCAGTATAATGGGAAACTTGCTAAATGTCCTTATAAGAATTTTTTTCTGACTTTTTAGAAAAAAAGAACCATAACATAAAGTAAACCTCAACCGAATGTAACGAAAATGAAGAATGTATCATCATAAATGTCAAAGAGTATCGTTGAAGCTTACTAATGTTAGAGAAAGGACTAGTTGCTTATTTTACAGTATTTCAAGGAGGATTTGGCACCTTTGTAGACATATCTACTTCCTGGTTATCAGATGAGTGGCCCATTACATAAACTCAACTTAAACTGTTAGATATCCATTGTATGTACAAACTAAAGACAATAATATATAAATTACACATAGGTGTGTGAGTAAATGTAAAAATATCATCCCAAGGAAAATACTGTTACTTGAAGCTTTAGCTGAGTGTAACATTTTTTTTTTAGACGGATGATATTTTTGCTGTTAACTCATAAACCTATGTGTTATGTATTTTTGTGTGTTATGTATTTTTGTACCCCAAACAAATTTTTCATTGGGACAACGTTTCTATAGGTGTTTATTTTTCATATTTTTACTGTGAAAAAGTACTGTACTAAATATTTAGGAACATGGTACACTTGAATTAACAGTAAGAATAACTCCCATTGGCCTATAAGAAATTAACATTACAAAAAAAGTAAGGGGTAATAGTAAAGTATGACACAACTTTACTAAGGTCAGGTCTTTTTTGGGTCTTCATACTTATGTATATGTTCATATACCTTCATTATAAAAACTATTATTTCAATCAGTATATTGTATATAATTACTATATATCTATTAGACTGCACCAGAGATGTTTCCCTATGAAGAGTTTTCAGGGCAGGGTAAGGTCAGACAAATATATTTTCCCTGGGGAGCCCTTCCCTTTTCTCCTGTAAAACCATCCGAAACAACTAAAAAAAATTGTATAAAGAACTTGGAAAATTTTCCAAAAATTTATATAAAATAGAAAAAAAGTTGAAAATTAGTTTTACGTAATTATCCTGAAAAATTGGTCTTTCATTATTTTTTTTAACAAATTTTCCCTTTCTAGGGATGGGAAAAATTAAATAACTTGTGACAATAAAAATCAAAATTAAATTTTTCTGTCTTCCACAATGACATAATTGAATGGCCTTGGCCCTTCAGAATGTTGCTGGGGTTCTAACCGGTAGGGGACTTTTGTATTGCTTGAAATACTATGTTTATTGCTCGCCTATATGATTGAAATACTGTTTGGAAAAGGCGTAAAATGAAACAAACGAAAGAATAAAAAAAAATGTTTATTGCTTGTTTATCTCCCTTATTTTGAGGGCATTACAATATGATATTGAATGGTTTCGAGTTCAGATTTTATTGTTGTATTGTATAATATGCATCTGCTATTCATTTTTTTCTATTGGTTTTTTAAAGCATTTAAATTTGTCAGAAATAACAATTTGATATGTTATAGTACAATTTGAAAAAAAATTTGTGTGTCTCTGTTGCAGAGTTTAAGATTTATGGAGGCCTTTCTGTTTCTTTTCAGAACATCCTTGTACAAGTCTCCATGGGCTCGGATCTATTGCTACACTGGTCAGAGAATTAAGAAAACTGGTCAAGTATCCAAACAGGAAGTGGTCAGCTACCCGCGGGACACATCCTCAACCAGTAACCATGCTGAACAGTACACTCCGGCAATAATTCCCTGCGACTGTTTTTCACATCAAATTGGGGGTCTCCCCCCCCAGGGATAACCCTACCATTCACCTTTACCACCTCAGTTCTTTCTATCAAATTACTTTATAGAGAAATTTTTAATTTCAGGGAAAATTTATGGGGTGTTGGGACGAAAAAACTCCCCCGCCAAAGGAAGGGTGAACCCCAATTCCCTGGGGTTTTCCGTTTTTTTCTCCAAATTTTCCCTTTTAAAAACGGGAAAACCAAAAATTTCCCTTTGGGGAAAAAATCAAAAAGGAAATTTTTTGGGGAAATTTTTGGGAAAAATTTTTTTATTTTCCCCCGGGCCCGGTTTTTTTGCCATGGAAATTTAAAGAATTTTGTTTTTACCTGTGGAGAAATGAAGTTAGCTTTTAGTTTAAGGAAAAACATTTTCCCCCCAAATAGCAAAAGTTTTTATAAGAATTTAAACAACAGGTGAGGGAGGGAATTTGGTACCCCGGTACATTTCTGCAGGCCTCATTTTTGAATTGAACAACGGGATTCATGGTGTTATTACAGTTTGGAGTTTTAAAGGATTTTTGTTACGAGGGGGGGGGGGGGGGGGGAGGGGTAACAGAACAAGGATGGGGGAAACGAAGGGAAAACACTTATTGGCACAGGTTTTATTTTTTTAAGTAATGTTATGATTTTGTGTAAATTATATTTTATAATTTAAGTATATTTTAGAACTTTGTGTGAAATGTGATTTTTGTGGCCGATTTTGGGTTTGAGCTTATTTGATTCCTTTTGGTTTAATCACAAAGGGGGGGCCAAATTTTTTTTTTTCCTATCTTTTTATCCCTTTTGGTCAGCCATTATGGGGCATTTCAATTTGACTTATTATCTATTGGTTAACCATTTTTTTTCGAGTTTTAAACGTAAAAATTTATTCAAACTTTTATGGAAAAAGTTGAAAAAAAGGGGGCCCCTTGGGGAAGATAAAAAACTTTTTGAAAAAGTATTTTTTTTTATTGAAATTTTATTACTCTTACTTTTTAACTTGCGGAAATTTGGTTTTAAGGGGGTCAGAACCAAAGGGGAAATTCTAAAAATTCCCCCTTTCTCTACTTTGAAATTTAAAACTAGCAAGTGGGAAGTTTTAAACCCAAAACCAAAATGGTAATTTAAAAGGGTGGGGACATTTTGGGTTTGAGCTTGAGATTGGTTTTCCCCGCCCCCAACTTTGTCCAAAATACTTGGAGAAGAAAGGGAAAATGAAAACAAAAACGCGACGAAAAAGATATGCAACCGAAGAGAGGCGTGCTTTGTAGAACAAGTTGGGAAAACGACGCCCGTAGAACCGGGGTTTACCCTCTTAGCCTCATCTTTTTTAGTTTGTGTTTATTAGTGTCTCAAGAAGTTTATCAAGTGTTTGGGCCCCATTAACTTTAGGGTTCAAAATTTTTTCAAAAAGAAGTTTTTGTTTAAAGGGGAAATTAAAAAAGAAGGAAAAAAAAGGTTGGGAAAGGGAATTTGGGAAAAGGCTTTCTAAAATAGCCAAAACCCGGAAGGGGAGTTTATGGTTTCATAGGGCTTTTTTAAATTTTTTATCACACATTTACGATGTTTTTTTTAATGAGAAAAAAAGGGGATTAAAAGCTTTTGTAAATGAATTTTTCTGAATTTCTCATTTAGGTTTTTTAACACTGTAAAGCACACCCGAATTAGTAATAATCCTGGGTTTTTTCCAACCCAAATTTTTGAACCCGACTTTGTTTTAAAGGGGGGGCTTTTTTAAAATCAATTTTTTAAAAAACAAATGGGGAGGGGAATTTTGGGGTGAGATATTTTTACCATATATCAACTGTAGAAACAGTTCAAGTTAAAGAAGTTGTGGGTAAAAGATGATGCCAGTGGTGAGACTGAAACAAAACAAGTGAAAGATACAGGTGAACAAAGTGAAGGAGATTGCAGCAAAGAAAAGAGACGAGTCTGAAAAATGTTCAGGGATGGGTGCTAAAAAAGGAAGAAGTGCAAGATAGTAACCAAAAACAGAGCTCAAGAAAGAGATCAAAAGAGAAAAAAAACTAAATGGTTACGCTGTTGTGTCTGTAATGTCAAAAAACCAAAGTTGAAAATATTAAAAAGAGCCTGAGCAAAAGTAATGCATTGTTCGAAGGGGCATCTCTAGAACATGACGACCCCCATTGAAGTTCCAAACCATTACAACAGTGGCACCAAACTTAATAGCTTGAAGAACAGTCGAATAAACCTTTAGAAAAAACTTTACAGTTTAAAATTTTTTCCCGGATTTAAAAAAAAATCTGGGGATTTTTGGGGCCAAAAGCTTGTGGCTTTTATGAATTTTTTTACCAGTTGTTTCATAGTTTAAACGAACATTTGGGTACCAGGGTTTTTGGGCGGGGAAACAGGGTACATCTGTCTCATTAAGGGGGAGATCTTAAAACCCCAGCCGGAGAAATTTGTTTTTGGCGTTCTTCCCGTAAAATAAGACCCCCAAAAAAAATTTTCCCGAGCAGGTTTTTACGGTTTGAAAAGATTTTTTGGGATGGTTTTCACCAAACCCGCCCAAAGGGAAAGGGAAATGTTTATTTTTTTAAGTTTAATAAAATTTATTTTTAAATTTCACACAATTACAATTTTTTTACCAAATCATCAAGTTACATAAAAAAAAGGGGTTGGGCCAAAAGTTCTAACAACATTATTGTGGGCCCTTCCCCTTTATGGTTATACAATCATAAAGAAAGAACATTGTAAAGCATTGTCAGTCCTACATTTTCTTGTGCCTCATTTCGAATGAAACTGTGGTCCTATTGTCCACAGTGCAGCTTGAACCTGGAGATTTTTAAATACAGGTTTGAGTCTAAAAAGTGGTTCAAAACCATGACTCCATATTTGATACCAGTAATAGATACACCAGAGTGGTTCAAAGAATCCTTTAAGCTTTAATCAAGTAAACTTAAATGAAAAAAAATTTAGACTGTTCATAATTTATGTATGTTTAGTGACTGTTCATAATTAATGTAAGTTTATTTGATATTACTTTGATTGAAGTTATTTTGTCCCTTTGATGCAAAGAAAGCCATATATTGGAATAAGAACGGTTTTAAATTTCCGTATTTCAGATCTCCAGGAAACTGAGCGTCAAGGTAGAGGTAAAGGTAGAAAACCACAGAAAAGTCGCCAAAGAAAAAATGATGGCAACTTTACAGAAAAGTTTGTATACCTTGTTATCATCTAAATTTCATAGTTTAGGCTTTTGAGCTTTTTACAAATCCTTGTCCATCAGAAAAAAATTTCTATTATATGTATTACTGAAGCCAAAAAAGAAACTTTCGCAAAATATGTTGCCAGTTGTTCAAGGGTACCACTTTTTAGATATACTCACCCTTGTATACATGTAGTAGCTTGTAAAAACTCGTTTTTGTTTGCAAAATCGGTCAGCTAATCCCCGTATAAAAGCCCGATGTGTTTATATTAACGTAAAATCGAGTTTCAAAAGGATTGAAAACTGTACTAACATATCTACATTCAAACTTGGAGAAAGTTTCTTTTTTTGTTTCAGTATATTAATCTGAAATTTGGAGACAAACTTGTATTTTGCTTTTTAAAAGGTATTTGTTTAATGATTTTCAAAGGTATTTTTTATCAGACTTAATGATTGTTTTGTGGTTAAGGTTGGGCGACTGTGTATCGCCATGGGCCACTCACTGATATTGGTTTTGGAATCTCATTCTTTGGACTTGAGTTTATTTTCATTGTGAAAGTTATCCAGCTGGCTAAAGAAGCTTTAAGTTGGTTTTATATAGGGTTGCCCACCTGTGGCCCTAAAATTTAATTTGCATAAAAGGAGGAATGAGGTCTTGGGCCCTCCACCTGGTAATGTTTAAAAAAAGTTCACCATATTGCCGTTTACAATGTTCAGTTTTAACATATATCCAAATTGAAAGTCTTTTAATTGTAATATCAACAGGGGATTTACCCACACTGTGGGTTTTTGGATTAGTTAATTAAAAAAACTAATTTAAAAAAGCTGTTCGGGAAAAAAAAATGGGGAAATTTTTAAAAAAATTCCCTTTTAAGCATTTTTTTATTAACAAAAAGTTGGGGATTTGTTTAAATTAAAATTTGTATTTTGGGGTAAAAAAAATGTTAAAAGCCTGAGGAAAACAAGGTTCATAAATGTTTAGTCTGTCCTTTTTTTGGGGATTCGCAGATTGTTTTTTAAATATTTAAAATTATATAAAATAATTCATATAAAATGGGTTTTAAAATTTTTGTAGGGGAAATTAAAAGGGGAAAGACAAAGGGGTAGAGCATGTTGGGAAATCAGAGGAAAAGGAAAAAGACCCTGACAAAACCCGTCAAGGGATGTAAATCAAGGGGTTTTTCTTTAAACCCCATTAAGTTTTTATTAAATGGTTTTTCATGGTCAAATGGGGGGAAAGGGTGTTAACTTTGAAGCATAAGTCCCTCACCACCTTGGGTGGGTTTTTGGATTACTTTCATTTGACAAAGCTTATCCGCTATCAATAATTCTACTAAGGTATCCTCTTTCTCTTAGAAAAATTCACAGGGGTGTACCTGAGATTTTCCTCAACCAATATGAGTTGAAAGTAGCTATATGACCATTACTGTGCAAAAACAAATACATGTTCTGTGGGTACTACATATGGAATTAAGATATTCAAAAGATCGTTCACATGAACCACTTTTTGGACATTTCCCTTTAGTGCCTATTTCCGCATCATTTTGAGGTTATATTCTTGAAAACTAACTCATGCATTTTCAAGTTATATTTTTTGATGACTGACCAAGGCCTACAATTCTTGTTGAGATATTTTCCTTCACTCATTTAATACAAAGCAAATTTCAGGAAAAGCTTGTTAATCTTGTAGTTTTTGCAGGAAAGGTTGTGGGGGGTTCCAAATTAAAAATCAACCTGGTTTCTTACTTTATTGTGAATTTCTTTCTCTTAGAAAATTTGTCATTTTTAATTGTCATTTACAGGCTAATGTTTTTCCTACCAAGTTTAATTGTTTGTCCCAAATCATATTACCAGCACTGTATTTTAGTTTTTTAATGCCTGCTCAATATTTTACGAGGGGTGCTGTTTAAAAAATTGTGTTTTATGTAAATAAATAGAATTTATATTTTTTTATTTTTATTCAGTTAATTCTTGGGGGTAGAAAAAAAAAGAGCGACCTTTTCTGACGTTTAAGGGTTTTTTTACAGTATTTTAGGCCCCAAACCCGGTTTGCAAAATGTGAGAGGCGTTTTGGGGGGCAATACTTGCCTGTGGTTTTGATATACACTTTGAAAGGTACTTTGACTCGTTTAGAAAAACGGTTTATATTCTCAACAGTGCACGCTTTTTTTTGTAGAGCATTAATCATGTAAAGGGCAGGCTGTTGGTTCATTCTTTTACAAGGCTATGCCAAAAGTCAAATAATAAGTTCTCTTGATTTGATATTTGTATATATCAAAATATCATAATGAGGAAGTTAATGACACATATTGTTAATACTCATAAATATGCTTTACAGGGATTAGTAGATCTAAGGAACATGGGAATTAAGAAAGACAAGTAAGGTTTTCGATGCAACTTAAGGAAAAAAGATACAATTTTCCCAACTTTGGGATAAAAGATCTTGAAATTGTTAAATGACTTGTTGCCAGATTTCATGAAGTTGTTTGTATTTTATAAAATATGACTGCAATGGTAAATGAAATAAGTAGTTTATAACTAGTTTAGACGGTTTTCTTCTTATATTGGCTTGTGATGGCCCATCATCATGGGTGTAAAGCTTATATCTAATAAAATATATGTCTTTACAAAGTGATACAGTAAAATTATGTTGTCCAAAAAGAGTATTTACAAAGATTGCAGCTCTTACTTACCATAACACACATGAATATTGTACATATAAACCAAATAAAATGTGTCTGAACAAAATATTATTATGCTGTTTTAAGAAGGGCTTGTTTTAATGGTTTAGCAATGATTTTGTGAATGTTTCGAGGAAAAATACAAAGATATTTTTTATCATTTAGGTATTTTGGATTTTTTTCAAAATACAAACATAATCTTATGAACTCAGATGGCAGATATAAAATAATAGCTCAATACACTTTAAAGAGACTGCTTGTAGCATGTTATTTCCGATACATTACATTTGTGAATTTGGGTGCTTTGAAAAATAGTGAAGTAAAGAATTGAAGTTGACTTTGTTAGGTTTAAATGATTGTATTAAAAGATATGGCTGATAAATGACATTAAATCACATAACCAAATGAATTAAATCACATGTCAATCATTTTAGATCTGCACTGTTCTTGACAACATTTCAAGCTCAGCAAATGGCCAGGACAGTGGAGACCGTTTACGCCCCCCACATGACGCAGCTCTGACACAGTTTGTAAACTCATTCTGTCGTGAAGTTAGCAGTCACACCAGCCACGATACATCCTTCATGAGATTAGAATTTCTGCGGTAGAACTTTCAAGTGAAAAATATTCTTGTCTGCAAGGTATAGTGTTAATAAGCTAACCCTTAATACTTTTTTGTTTATTTATAATAAAATAGCTATATAATGTACCAGTCAATTGTTAAACTACAGGACCTTCACCTTTGTGGAATAGCACAGAAACTATGATTTTGATTTTCAAACTCCTATTAATGGCCTTCTCCTTCACCTAGTTTGAAAAGAAGGGAAACTATGACCTTTATTTTCCACATCCCGGTAAAAGTCCCTTTTCTACAGGGCCTTGCAGCTGGTAAATGCACCTGCTCTTCAAAGTTGGCTGACACACATACCCTGCTACTGCATTGACTAGGTAGTGCAGGGACAGTCTTAAAAAAGTCAAAACTTGGCACAATTCCCCTGCTATCCCACACACTATATGGTTTGAGGGCTGGCTATGTTTTCAATCAACTGGTGCTTATTATAATGTCAGAAAGTTTCTTTATAAAGTCTTAAAGATATGAATAGAATATTGATTTTATCTAAGTTTATTGAAAACTTAAAAGAATCTAAAAAAAAACAATTCTCAAGCACAATTTTAAAGTATTTTTATTTTTGTAAGTATTCTCTGACTCTGACACTTTATTAAGAATGAAATAAAGTTAATTTATCTCTTTACCCTTAAATCTTTGCTTGTTATGGAAGTTGTAATGTTTTGCACTTAACTATGGTTTGTTACTTCTATCTAATACAAATTTATTTCCCAAGTCCATTAAGATACCGGAATGTGTTTATTTTAAGGAAGAAAAGGAGCACCAAACTGTTGCATATAGTAAAATATATCTCCAAAACCAAATTGTTTTATATATGATATATTATAGGAAACCACTTACTGCAAATTGATATATTTATGATCTTTTTGTATAAATTTAAAATACTTCATTTACAGAAAATTACCAGTACATTGATGATTAGTTAGTAAAAAGTAACCTTTTCAGTTCTACACATAATACTTAATAACTGGTTCCTGTTTCAGGAGTTCCCGTTGAGAGTTTACGACTGAGATTTGCTTTTCTGCAATCTCTGAACAACACCCTAGAAACATTTTTCCTGCCACTGATCGACCTGCGACCTTGGCAGACCTACAACAGGAGCACATCAGCACTGCTATCTAGAATAAGAGGACTGCTTTTCTATGACACTAAGTGCGCTTTGATGAATAGAATCTTGAATGCAACAGCGAAGAGAAAACCGGACCAGGCTGCACCGGAAATTACTCTTGATCCACTTGAGATATTGGAGGTGAAGATAATTTTT